AATGAGGGCAGAGGCAAAGGATATTTCTATAAATACAGTTCCTGTATAATTATGTTTGTTTATTGATTCTTCCTTGTGTTGCAAACTTATGTCTTCTGTTAATGCTGTTTTTTCTTGTCCTTAAAAATAAAGAATTAGAGCAGCAGAATGATCTCTCCAAAGGATAAATGAAAGTCAAATGACCTTGGAATTCATCAGCAGCCCTTTTGGATACCTAAGACATCTAAGACCAAAACTGCTTGTTGGTATTAGGAAACAAACAAACAAACAAACAAACAAATGAAAAAGTAGTTAGAGAAATTGGCTCTTAGGACAATAAAGCAGTCCTTCTCGAGCCTTGCTGCAAAGTTTTGAGCTGCAGCTGTGCCACTGAGTCACATTCAAAGGAAGAGATGAGCTGGGGAAATATTTACACAGAGGTCCAGGATTTGGAAGGACTATACATTGTGCCTGCTTTGTAGCAGATTTTTGTTTTGTTTTGTTTTGTTTTTAGGAAAAGTTAAAGAGAAGCTTCAAAGAGCAGATTCCTTGTTGGTTTGGAGAGCTGAAGTCTTTTCCCAACGAATGTTGGAGTTATCTTTAAAAAAGAAGTAAATTAAAGGTCCAAATTCACCTCTTGTGCCAGTTCTCCAAGGCAACAGAATGACACCCAGAAGGAGTTAGGGTTTAAGATGGCAGCATGAAGGACAAATTCTTGACAGTCTTCAGTTGTAGGTGGCAGGGTCATCATTGCTTGTCTGTGGTTCACTCCTCTTTACAGGCCATACACCATCTGCATAAAACTCTCCCTTTGCTCTACATCTCTGCCATGTAATGATACTAATGGAGGACTGTGTGAACAGAGATCCAAATCTTAGAGAAGAGGTTGGAGGCGAGAATGTCACTCCTAACTCTGCCAGAGACTTACCTTCTAAGCTTAGTCAACACATGAGCTGTTTGTACTCACAGTGAGTAGTAACACCTTGCTCTAGAAAGAAAGGCATTTGGTTAGTCAGTGTGTTTACTTCATGAGTAATTTGCTAATAAACCCAAGTATCAACAGCTGGTCTTTGTGAGTCAAATGTGTCGGGACTTAGTATAAGAAATAAGTTCAGAGACCTACTTAAAGTGTTTTGAGATTCGTGGTGTGAAAGGTGTAATGGATACAAAGCTGAGCAATGGGCTGAAGTACAACAGCATCCAAATACTCAAACAGCACTTGAGCTATGAATCTATTTTTGGGATTTCAAAAATCATAATGATTCATTGCCCTGGCCACAGAAGTTTGGATACTTTTCTGTACTCCTTTGATGCTTTTGACCTGATGGAATAAACAATTCCATGATCTGTCAAAGGGAGGATTTCTTTTTTCTTTCTTTTTTTTTTTTTTTCAGATCAGATTAATTTCAAAGTCAAAAAGATATAAATATACTTGAATTTGCTACCAGTGAGCACCCACTAACTTCAAACCATGCCCTTCCTTCAGGCTGATCTAATTCATGGATGTGTTTTGAGATGGCAACATTCCCATAGAGACAAGGACTAAGAAAATAAAATAAAAACCCCAACATAGGAATATTGTGCAGGTATAAGTGGGTGAGAACTGAGGCTGAGATTTTAACAGGAATATCAGTGAATTCATTGCTTAAAGCCACACTGAAATTCCAATTTAAAAAGCCAAAGGCATTTTGACACCAAACCGCTCTGATAGCTAGTTCAGCAGAAATGGCAGGAATAATATTTTTTTTCTCTCAGTAAAATAATTAAGTACAGTTAAAAATAAATAACAGAGAACCTGTGAATGTCATCAAACTTCACAGCTACCTTTTAAAAACAATTTTGCTTTTTAAATGTGCTGAGATACTAAAGGAAAAACCAGAAAGATGGGCATATAAATGCAAGTAGTCTCTTAATGGTAAGAATATATGGCAGTTCAATCAAGTTGAATCAGATCTGTATGGACCCTTACCAAAAAAATATAAGTGTCATTAAGTAAAAAAATCGGAGGTTCTGGGGCTTCAAGAGTCCTCAGGTTTATTAATATTAATAGATCAAATAGTAATCCAGGTAAAAATAATTTGTTGTCTGCAGAGCAGAGACTCATAGTGATTATGTAATAACAAAAGATGCAAGTTTTTAAAGAAATTATTTTTGGGACCTTGGACCATAACTTGAGTAGGTAAATATTTCAAATAATTCTGTATACATATTCTTTCCAATATCAGACATTTGGATTTGATTGTAATAAAATGCTGCTTTCTCAACAGTCTTACAGAATAATCTACACAGCCAATCATTCCTCCTTCTCCAGGAGACTGATATTTTAGTGAAAAAAAATTGAAAAGGATTTAAAAATTGTTTTTCTTATATTTTTTTCCCTCCATCAAAACCTGATTTAAAATTATTCACATTTGAAGTAGAGGACCACAATTAAATTCCTTTACAATACATTTTTGTGTGGCAAATCTACATATCTGACATAGCCAAACTTCCCCCCCCCCTTCCTCGCCCTCAGTTTGGGCAATAGAAAAAGCAGAATGACTTTCCTTTTCACTTTTAATCATGGTTACCTACTTTCACACGCAAGTATTTCATGTTCTAGAACAGTTTCCTAATGTTTCTGTTGGAGACATCTCTGAGGATCATTCACCTGATTTTAGCACTTCTTCAGGGGCGCTGGAGTGAAAAATTAATTCGGTAAAGTTTAAGTTCTGTTAGGCACTTAGCTGATCTTAGTATGTTAAGAAGGTGGAGTCCCATGGAGATACATCTATTTCTCTCAATGCATAGAGGATGCCTAGATAGCACTAAAGTAGGTATCTAAGTTAAAAAGTTATATACCTACCATGAGCAAGGACAAATCTGGGCAAAATCATAGTTTTTTTTTTGGTTTTTTTTTTTTTTTTTTTAATATCCTTATGCAAACAAATAGGGACTCATTAGTTCCTAGTGCATTTCTCACATGATGACAATGTCCTTGATGATCTCAAGAATAGCATCATGCCATAAACGCTCTGTTTCCTTCCATACATTTGGAAGGCAAGGCTGATCTTGTTGATTCAGTTTGACTCCCTACCTGATGGCTGTAAACGCTCTCAGATTTTTGTCATAGTCTCTAGATTTACTCTAAAGCTGATCATCCAAGATGTAGTGCATGTTAACTAGTTCTAGAAAGCTGCGATGTAGACACATGTGTATGAGCACTTCTATCCTTGGCTTCCTTGATACCTAGTTGAGAGCAGTACACATTCAGGGCATGATTCATCATTACTTTGAGGTGAGATAAACTGCATACTGTAAGTGCCGTTTTCTCTCCACTGATTATAGGAAGAGTGTGATTAATCCAGCTAAAGTCATGTACAATGCAAAATGCCACCGTTACATTCCAACTATTACCTGTGGAGAATGACAGGCACTTCCAGATGATCCCTTCTATCTGTCCTAGACATTTAGGGTGCAAGTGGCCACCCATAGTGCTGTCTTCTGGGATCCTCTGGCTCCTCCTCCAGGTGAGTCCAGTTCTATAGGTTTCATGTCATATCTCTCAAAACTCTGTGGCTCTTAGATACCCTAAACCATCTCAAATGGCTCTAAACACTTACACGAGGATAACTATATTATTTGCTACAATAGAAAGAGATTAATTGTCCCTTGGAAGAAAAGGTCTGGTTCTGCTGATCTTAAAAGGAGTTTAGATGGCCAGCATAACCCCACCCTGTAATACCAATCCTTCCTAACTTTCTCAATAAAGTGATGTCAGAGAAAGAAGAAGAGGAATGGAATAAAAGTCTTGTTGAAGAAGAAGTTAGAATGTGGCTGGAAAAAGCCTCTTGACTTACAGAGGCTTGAGTTCAAACTATGCCTCCAATGTTTTCTGTGTGAGGATGTGTGGTAGGTGGTAAACTAGTATTTCAAAAGTACATTAGCAAGGTTATTACCACTTAGCTGCTGTGGACCAAGCCAATCTGTCTTACTTGTCATTTTGGTTTTATTTTCTTTTCTTTTCAGTGAGTGAGTGGATTCTGTTAGACCTCTGCACCTCAGCTGGATTTCTAAAGACAATAAAGCTGCGGAAACAAGCTGTTGAAGAAAAATAGCATCATAAAATCAAGGCAACGCAAAAGGTGACTCTGATTGCCTGCATTGATCCTGTTGAACAGACACCCAGGTATGGCAGATTGCAGTGTTGTGGGACCAGGGACTGAGAAGATAGAGGACAGAAGCCCGTGCTATCATTTAATCTGAAGTTCACAGATGGATCAGGGTTCTTATTGAAACTATCAAGGTTTTCTTTCATTTTAGTCTGCCATGCTCTTTTCACGAGAGACACCACAGCTGCTGCTTGAATGGTCAGGACAGATTCCCAATAGGTTCTGGCCTCATTCCAGTGCAGCTTTATTGTACATTCCCACATGGGGATCAGCAGCCCCCAACACCAAACGGTTCATTTGTCCCACGACCCAAGAATTCCTCTTTTGCCAGGTTTCCATATTGTTTTCCCAATGGTGATCAGGCATTTCCGATGGATCAGAGGAAGCCCTTCTTTCAATCTATCCAGCATGCAAGCAAAGCCAGGATGCTGGAACTGCGTGTCCCACAACCGATGTGCTGGCCCTAATTGTGCTGCCGGAGAAGAAAGTGCTTCAAATTTCATGTGCCACCTCAGCCAAGTCCAGAAGTGCTTATAAAAAACAGTGTTAGTGTATCATTCAGAACAATCAAATACTACGTGCACGAAAAAGTAGTTTAGAGCAACATAAATTTTAAAAAGGTGACAATTTCATCACACAATTACTGTACACTGCTGTTCTTAGGGTTGAATACTTTCCTCTCTCACGCTCTTTCTCTCTGTTTTAATCTTTCTTTTTTTTTCTTTTTTTGATTTTTTCCTTTTTTTTTTTTTCTTTTTTCCCCCTTTTTTTGGATTTGGTCCACTGGAGATAAATCGCCCTCAATGATATATATATTTAAAAAAAATATCAGCAGCAAGACTCTCTTGAAATAGATTCTGTTTGATGTAGCTAGTCTGTCTTTTCTGTTTTGCCCTCTTTCACAGCAGCCTCTGAAGTTTTCCGCAGGGGGGCTTTCTCCGAGTTGGCGTGTCCTTGGCCAGATTCCGCCGCTCCTCCGTTTTTGTGCGATGTGTGCTTTTCCAAGTAGTTCAGCATTTCACTGAGAACAGTTTGGAAAGTGCTGAGGGCAGCACATATTGCAGGAGTTCCAAAACCATGAGTGATCAAACTACAAATGGGAAGGAGACAGAAATACACACATGCACATAAATATAAATGCAGTCACATACAATGAAGAGTTTACAGTACACTCATTTTGCTATAGTGAAATTCAAGATTTGCTCCCTAAACTATTTATTACCTGTGGGAGAAACAGAAAAGAAGAGAGTAGAGCAGAAGAGCAGACTACGTACAGCTTCAAAGGTTGGTTTTGGTAGGAGTCTCAGTTCTGAAACACTGTGGGACAGATCCACGGCTGATGCAGATTGACACAGAGTTGTTGACTTCAGAGAGGCCAAGAGAGGATCCATGCCCTAGGCTCTCCAGCATTGCTACTTTTCCGGTCCCAGAAGGTTTGGCTTCCCCCTTCTCAGGTATATGAAACCAGTTTCGTGTGGTTTATTCACTCTCCTAGATCAGAGTCTTGAACAGCAAGACTTGGTTATTCTACATGGATGTACGGCTGCATCTGTACTAGGAAATTAAGCAATGCCGAGGTGCAACCTCTGACCCTCAGCACAATTGGCATGGATTGGCCATATCTGTGCTGCTAAGCCCTCTGAGCATCCAACAGGGTGGAATCCAAACTGCTTATTGAGAACAGACCCTGGCCAATGAAAATGCCCAGGCAACGCCCGGGAAATGTTTCACGTAGGGCTGGTTCAGCCAGGCTAAATTAACGGAGCATCCTGACCAGTTAACAGTAAAAATAATCAAGTTCTAACAACATTGCCCTGGTGGTGTTGAATTTACTAGTATATATTATTTTCCCTGTTGCACCTTTCATCCAAATAAGGTGTTTTTTCAAGATAACACTGAATTTTTCTTGGTTTTTTTTTTCCTCTTTTATTTCTGTACTGCAAAAATAGCTGAATTTCAGTGATGTTCCTCACTTAACAGCTACTGAAATAACACATTAATGCAGTTGCCAGGCAGAGCTATAGTGGGTTAATCTCATCTCAGTTTAGAGGGGTATTTCCATGCACACAGATGTATCTACAGTCACTTGAGATGTTTTGGGCATCCAGCCCGGCTTCCACCTGCAGATCTGGAAGTGTGCAAGTTTCCCACAGGTCCCGTCTCTTAGATACCATCTGTATGAGGATGCCTCAGCTACCTTAGGATATCAGAAATGGCACTAGAGACCAGTTTTTAGGCAACTGACTTCAGCCTTGTTTGCCTAAACATTATGTGTACGTATGTAAGAAGTTAATGTAAAGGCCAGGGAAACTCAAGTTGTACTAGACACCTTATTATGAGTAAATAAATGTCATTCATTGTTATAATGATACATTTGGATAAGTGTTAAGTGAAAAACAAACAAACAAACAATGCCTCCAGATTTTTAATTTGAATTTAGAAATATAAATGAAAAATTATTTCAAAGGTTTTATTTTTTAAAGGACTGATTTCAGTTATCCCAATTCTGCTTATGGCAGAAAGAAGACAAGGAGAGGAACAGAGGCTGATTTTTGAGTTTGTGGACATATTTGAGAAATCAATACTTTATATTGGTTTGGGTTAGAAAAAAAACCACAACAAAACGTTACAGTGATTCTAATAAAACAATAACTATTTTCAAAATGGGACACTCTGGGTGTCTTAGGCACCACATCAGTAAACACTGCTCTAATGCAAAGAACCACACATAGGTCAGAAATGGGAAGATTTCACTTCAGCGAGAACACCTCTCCTCTGCACTTTGGCTTCTCAGCCTTTCCAGCTGTTTTAGAAAAAAGTGAAAAAGCAGGGACCAAGGGAAA